GTAAACAAATGCTGGCTTTGTCCTCCTTTGTCCTTCTCTGACATTGGAAAAAAAAAAGGGGGAAAAAATCAGTTACCATGTTTTAACCAAGTTTCATCTTTAAGCAGTAGGTCTCTTGATTTTCTAAAAAAAGTTTACATCACAGCTTTTAGTGAAATTATTTATGCACATTGGTCTCCTTTTAGTTTTCTTCTACTGGCCTGAGAGTACATTCTTTTGGTTGGTTGTCCATTTTGCAAGTCTCTCCTTAGATTTCTGTCAAAACTATTTTAGCTTTCTCTTTCCCAAAGACCTAAAATTCCAGGGTTTGTCTTCATAAAGTGTGTAAAAAAGCTTTTAACATTCAGCTTTTCTTCTCCTCTACTTTGAAGAGCTAACCTAATATATAGCAGGACAAAATCAGCACACGAAGGATCCCCAAATAAAATAAAACTCCTGCCATCAAGTCATTCTGACTCATAGTGACCCTATAATGCAAACATAGCGACCCCTCCTTTGGTTTCCGAGGAAGTATCACTACAGAAGTAGATTGCCCAACCTTCCTTCAAAGGAGTGGCTGGTAGGTTTGAACCGCCAACCTTCTGGTTAGCAGTCAAGTGCCTTGGCCACTACGCCACCAGAGCTCCTGTAGGACAGAGTAAAACTGCCCCATAGAGTTTCTAAGTCTGAAATTTTTACAGAAGGAGGGAATTGGCCCATATTACTTTGGCGGTGTGGCTAGTGGGTTCAAATACTGAATTTTTTGCTTAGCAGCTGAGCACTTTAACCACTGTACCACCAGTTCTCCTCAAAGGATCCCCAGGAGCTAGAATAATAATGCAACCATATTCTTGTTATATACAAGGTATAAATTCCTCACTGAATTGAGTCAGAAGACATAAGACACTGGCTCTGCCTCCCTGGTGGCATAGCAGTCAGTGGTTTGAACACACTAGCTACTCCATAGGACAAAGATGTGTCAGTCTGCTTCGGTAAAGATTATAGGCTTGGAAACTCTCGGGAGAAGTTCTGCTCTGTCCTATAGGGTCACTGTGAGTCAGAAGTGACTCAACGGCAATGATTATGGTTTCATAAAAAGGTATGCAAGCTCTGAAGTGAAGTAGACTTTAAAATTCTGGGCCTGACACTATTCACACTGGGTAGGTTATTTAACCTTTCTAAGTGTTAGTTTTTTCACCTATAACAGTAGGTACTTTCCCACTTCCTTTCTGTAGTAAATTTGTGAAAATGGCATAATATATGTAAATATATGAAGAATATGTAATGATAGACCAATGCTTAGAAAATAAGTATGTATTTAATCAATAGTGCTATTACCTTAAAATGAAGCAGACTAAATGATACAGAGTTTCTTCAGTAACCTACTACTAAGCCATGACTCTGAAGTCCTGTATTTACAACTACAACACCAATTACACAAGTAGAAGTTGGAGATAGGACTTAGGCATTGACTTAAAGGTTCTAGTTAGCTATAAACCTAGTATTGAACCACCAGTAACATAACACACCTATGTTTTGACCACAACAACTAAAATCACAGAGAAAATGGGAGGTGACGGTATTGTTCTATTGGTCAGAGTGTACCTAAAATACTGAGTTTTTAATTAAGATAATGACTAACTAAGATATTAAAAAAGGAGCTCTGGTGGCATGGTGCCTAAGGCATTTGACTGCTGGCCAGAAGGTTGATGGTTCAAACCTACCAGCCACTCCGCAGAATGGAAACAGCATTCTGAAGAGTCTCTAAGTAATGCCACATGAGGAACAGAGGATATTTACTCCAGAGAAGACAAGAAAGATTCAGCAGGGCCATGATAGCCATCTTCATGTACATAAGAACCAAACTCCAAACTCACTGCCATCAAGTTGTTTCCGACTCACAGAGACCTCCATTGGGTTTTCGAGGCTGTAAATCTTTATGTAAGGAGATTGCCCCATCTTCCTTCTGTGGAGCGGCTGGTGGGTTTGAACCACTGACCTACTACTTAGCAGGCAAGTGCCTTATCCACTACACCACCTGAGCTGGAAGAAGGTTCTAGATGGTCCAAGAAAGCAAAACCAGATCAACAAATATAATCTGTAAGTAAGGTAATTTCTACTCAAGCAAAGAAAAAAAATTCTAACAGCTTCAGTTGACTACAATTAAATTATGACAGGTGTTAAAACAAGGCTATTTATTAAAGCTGAACAAGGAATTCAATTTAGAAGAAAGAGTTGAATGAAACGAATCCTAAAGTCCTTTGAAATCTTAAGATTACTGACTCCTTTGGCTTTCACTAACCCAGAACATTCCAAACAAAACAGCTATGATCTCAACACATAGCTTATCTAATTACTTGCTTTTTATGACTAGCAGAATTGATTCACTCTCTCTCTCTCATTTTCTCTCTCTCTGTATTTGCATATTTAAATTTTATAATGGAAAATTTCTTACTATATTGTCACTAAATAAATGCTCTCTCACATAAAGCATGACTTCAAAACCAGTTCAGGTAAATTAGAATCACTGCACTTAATAAGCAGGAGTATAAGTCAAATAATGTATTTTGAAAAATTCAGAGGAATCTCAGGCACTAATGGCATAATGTGACAGTGCTTTAGGTAGTCAGAGGAAACTAGGTTGTCTTTATAAGATTATACATCTAATTTTTAAAAGGAATTTGTGTGTGTGTGTGTGAATAGTAAGCTACACAAGCAGTTGGCTCATGATAATCATCGTTATCTTGTATTTCAGGAGAGAAATGAAAGACAGAATAGATCACCTCCTACACTGATAGAAGGCATGACCTAAATACATGCCTAGAACTCTATATGATTAGTCTTTATTAAATTTCCAACTTCAGCCTTTATTTCTTTTCTAAAATATTACTGACCTTTGACAAGAAAAATTTGTAAATCTGAGAACACTAAAAATGAATAAGAATATAAGTAATGAGAATTCGTATTTCTACCAATCAAATGTCATTATCTTGCTTTGATACACACCTTGTTTTTTGAAGCAATCATGTATCTAATTCTGTATTAACCTTTATTGTTTTATTGACCTCTACACACTTCTATTTTATCTGTCTTTGGTATTAATATCAAAGTTGATATGTTCAAATTATCATAAACTGTATGTGCTAAATCACTTATATAGCATAATTGAATGTAGGTTAATAATAACTTATCTAAAATCCTTGGAACATGATGTGATTGGGATGTCAGAATTTTATTTTTTTAAATAAAAGGTAATATAGAGCACATACAAATTATTATATAACACCTCTCATGGGGTCTGAAGTATCATCCTATAATCAAACATATGGACATTTCCACAGCAAAACGTATGAATAGTCACATGAAGTGGAATTAAATAGAAGTATAAATAGCATCCTGTTAACTGAGGTAAAAACGTTTTGGGGTTTGTACTCTTATATAAGAAATTGTGAATCTGTTTTCTAGACTCACTTAAATGTACAACATGAGGAAATTACAAAGTGTTGATATTTTCATATACATGTCTGATAATCTCACTTTGATCCCATAACCTCCTTTTTTCCTTTTTTCACCTGACAATTCACACACACATACAAATTCCCTTGTTTGATAGTTTAAAAATTAGATGTATAATCTTGTAAAGACAACCTAGTTTCCTCTGACTACCTAAAGCACTATAACATTATGCTACTAATATTCAGTAGGCTGATTATATGGCAGAAATATAAAAATTTTGTTGGACTCCATTACCTAAAAGTATACTGATAAGAATATTAATTCCACCTGTGAAACCTGTTTAAACAGAAGACAACTATTCTAAGCCAAAATAATATAAATAACAACATAGTTTATCAACGTTTTTATGTCTGATCAAATGCAACGGAATCTTTAAAACATTAAAAATATCCTGAATCCTAACTCTTAAAAAAATATTACATATACTTTAAATAATGAAAACTAAGAATTAGCCCTATCTCTGCTCTGCATCAGTTATACCATACCCAGAAACCCATGTTTTTTTAAGACAGTGTTGCACAGAACAAAAGCTTTAATGTCAGAAGACAGGGTCTGAGTGATGGTCTTATCTCAAGACCATAGGTTACTTAACTTTTGTAAGCTGTACCTTTCTTATCTGTAAAATAGGGATAATAAAGCTATTCTGTAGAATCATAGTGAATATTTGAAATATAAACATGAAAAAGAATAGCAAGTGCCACATAGGATACAAGTTAGTATTTTTATTCTTTGACAGAAATGGGGAGGGAGGAGAGGAACAGAGGGAGAAAGTCTCCAGGCCTGAGAACTATACAGCAGGAAATATTATCCAGTTTGCTTTTATGAAGTTTCTGGGACTGGGCTGGGAGGTAACAAAACTCAAATGTCTATTTGAGACAGAAGGACAGGCAGTCCTTGAGTTAACAAACGAGATCTGTTCTTTAGTGTGTGTTTAAGTTGAATTTGTAGGTTAAATCAGAACAGGTGCATATGGTTCTCATTTAGCCTTACCTTAGTGCAAGAAAAGGCTAGAAGCCCTTTCAATGACTTAAAAGTTGCACAGGCAACAAGTGGAGGTTATTGTGATGAATTTATGAAGGTTTTGTTGTGAATAGGGGTTAGTTCAATCATTTCAAAGTGAGGGCAAATTTACATAATATTAAAGGGCAAGAATGAGTTGCATATAATTTGGACATTCATAACCCAGGGACTTACTCTATTTTAGTATTTTTTTCTTCCATAATAAATAATTACAGAAATTAAACATTTTAAAATATTGATACTTTCTCTCTATATATTCACATACTAACCAAAGAAATCTATACGTTTTTCATATACATTCCCAAAACACAAACCAAAATACAGTGATTTTCTTTGTATCTTTTATTGTAGAACAGTTTATGATATTTAAACATGAACTCTACAGTTCTTAATATACCTTTACAGTTTGTATAGCTAAGTAAAATGAAGATGGAAGAGTTGAAAAAATACTCAATTTTCTAAAGCAATTTGGAAAAAATACTTACTCAATTCTCTGCTGCAGTTGTTTAGAAAGCTTCTTATTTTCCTCCTGTAGAGTATTCTTTTCATTCACTTAAATATAATGTGAAAAAGAAGGCACATAATAAATATAATGTGAAAAAGAAGGCACATAATATAGTTCCATTACCATCTACGACTGATATTTTTGATAAAATACCAACAATTATAGAGAAATTAGGATTTCTAATTTTAAGTCATAATATTAGTCAGGGTTAACAATACTGTACAAACCTAATTTGTTATTAGGTAGTGATTGTTATTGTCAGTTGCCATTGAGTCAATTACAACTGTTCCACAAGGTTTTTAAGGCTATGCTCATTTGGAAGCAGACTGCCAGACCTTACTTGTGATGCAACTCTGGGTGGGTTTCAACTATCAACCTTTCAGTTAGTAGTCCAGCATTTAACGAGTTGTGCCATATAAGGACTAGTGATTACTGTATCTCACATTGTACTAACCAAAACCAAACCAAACTCACTACCGTCAAGTCAGTCCTGACTCATAGCAACTCCTCCTTGAGTTTCTGAGGCGATATCTCTATAGAAGTAGACTGCCCAATCTTTCTTCCAAGGAGTGGCTGGTGGGTTTGAACCGCCAAACTTTTGGCACTATGCCACTAGAGCTCCCTATATTGTACTAGTTCCATGTAAATGACTGTTGTTGTTGTTAAGTGCCGTCGAGTCGTTTCCGACTCATAGCGACCCCATGCATAGCAGAACGAAACACTGCCCGATCCCGCACCAGCCCCACAATCCCTGCTATACTCGAGCCCATCATCGCAGCCACCGTATCAATCCATCTCCCTGAAGGCCTCCCCCTCTTTCGTCGACCCTCCACCCTACCAAGCATGACAGCCTTCTCCAGGGAATGGTCCCTTCTTACAACATGACCAAAATAGGTGAGACAAAGTCTGGCCATTGACTACTTGACAATTTTATGAATGCCTGTGGGCAACAAGGAAAGAGTACCTCATCTACTGGGGAGTATAGTTTATTTATACTGAGGACAAGAAAGCATTCCATCTGGTTACTCAGTCCTTCTAATTTCAAATACCAATTTCATAAATCACTTATCGAGAAATATATCTGATCATAAAAGCAATACAATACTGATATCAGTGTAATTTGTATAATATAAACAAATTAAGTCAAAATTTCTTTAGTCACAGTATTTGTTTCATGAATAACTATGGTATAAGTTATTTAAACATATCCATTGAAGTAGTATGTCTATTTGAATCCCTCTACTAAGTTTTTCTGTCCATTATTACTTAATTTAAAAAGCAGAAACCCCATTTGGGCTATAGTTTCCACAGCAGCCAGCACAAAACTTCTATCAATACTTAATATAATGTCTTTGGGCAAGCATGTACTTTTCTAAGAGTTGTTTTGTTTTGTTATGTGCCGTCAAGTCGGACCCGACTCATAGCAACCTCTCCTTGGGTTTCTGAGGTGGTATCACTACAGAAGTAGATTGCCCAACCTTCCTTCTGAGGAGTGTCTGGTGGGTTGGAACCGCCAGCTTTCTGATTAGCAGTCAAGTGCCTTAGGCACTATGCTACTAGAACTCCCAAAAAATCTGAAACACAGTAAATACAATTAGTTACTACCAAAGGGTATTACAGTCTAAAAACTTGTTAGTAAATTTGTCAGTGGCTTATAAATCTGAACATATTTTCTTGCAATGAGCAAATAAATTTTTTTCAGTTATCTACAAAATGTTAGGTTACTAAACTACCTCCTATGGGGGAATCTAAAAAAAACTCCAACGACTAAAGAGAAACTCTATGTTGCAGTCCTACTCTGTCCTATAGGGTGGCTATGAGTCATGATTGACTCGAATGGCAGTGTTTTTGTTTTTTTTTATAGCATATATTGAAGTGAGAAGAGGACAAGTCAGGAACTCATTAAAATAAGTAAGTGTCTGGCCTAATGCAGAAGAGATGTGAAAAATAGAGAGTGAGGCCAGTTATAGATGAGTTGTTAGAGAGGCAGAAGCAGTAGCATTCGGCAACTCATCCTATAGAGTGGTGAAAGAAGTCAAAGACGACCTTAGATTTCTGATTAAGACAGTTTACTTGATTCTCCCTCTCCAAATCCAAATGGAATGACTAAACAACTCTAAAGATAAATCTACTGTAATACTGCAAAAATGAAGCCCAGATGGCACAGTAGTTAAAGTGCTTAGTTGTTAATTAAAAGGTTGGCAGCTCAAACCTACTACTCACTCCACGGTAGATGTGGCAGTCTGCTTTGTGAAGATTTACAGCCTTGGAAACACTCTGGGGCAGTTCTACTCTTTCCTATAGGGTTGCTATCATGGATTGAATTGGGTTCCCCCAAAATATGTCAACTTGGCTAGGCCATAATTCTCAATGGTTTGCTAGTTATGTAATGATGTAATTTGGTAGTTATATAATGATGTAAGCCACAGTTATATAATGATGTAATCACCGCTCATGATGTGATCTGATATAATCAGATTATTCTGTAAACTCTATTTGATTGCTAAGCTCACTGGAAGATATATCCAAGGGAGTCACACACTGCTGCCAATCATCAACACAAACAACACAAAAACTCTGAGCTGAAACTCGAGCAGTGTAAGTAAGCAATAATTGAGTTCTGGTGGCACGCGGTTAATTGCTTGGCTCCTAACTAAAAGGTCGGTGGTTCAAATCTACCAGCTGCTGTACTAAAGTGGCTGGAGAAACATGTTGTACATTGCTTCCATAAAGATGATAGTCTTAGAAATTCTATGGGGCAGTTCTACTCTATCCTAAAGGTTCATGAGTTGCAATCAACTAGAAAGTGATGGATTTTTTTTTGGTGTGTGTATATATTATGTTTAACTCTAATTTGTAGGATTAAAGAAAAACGAGATAATGAACAAAAATAGCATATAAGAAGAGAAAGGGTGATCTAATATTTTTGAACTATTCAAAAGAGGTTAAAGGTATTAACTTGATGCGTTAAGAAAGTATGATGAAATTTCCAGGCTGACGAAAAAGAACAAGGGGTTGAAAACAATCTAGTAAAGGATCAAACAAAAACAGAAAAAGAACACAAATACTCTCAAAAGCGAATAACCAGGGGAGGGGGCTTAAAAAAAGGCAGGACAAGCAGAAAAATGTAGCATATAAAACATGGGGGATTCTGGGAAGGTAGCAGCAGTGACAGTGTTGTTTTTCCATTTCTCCAAATCATCAGGCAAAAACAGAGCAGCTACATAGAAATAACAAAATTTATACACAACATAAAGCTCTTAATACTTTTATTCTTATAATAATTTTATATGTGATTTGTTCTAGATAGTTTCTCTGTTGCCCATTTTTTATGTGAAATTAATTTTCTAGAACTTTTCAGTAATCACACTTGTGGCATTGTTGCTTGTTATTGTGTATCTTCAAGTTGACTTCCATTAATAGTGACCCCATGTGATACAGCAGAAGTGCTCTATAGGGTTTTCTTGGCTGTAATATTTACAATAGCTCATCAGGTCTTGGTTCCTAAAGAGCCGCTGGGTGGGTTCAATTCACCAACCTCTCAGTTAGCATCCAAACATTTAACCACTGTACCACCAGTCTAGTGATATTATTTTGAGACCACTGTGCTTGTACTATGAGATAAAACAAATGAATAATTAGAGGATATTTTAATTCTATTATCCCTGTGACACTGAGAACCAGAATCTCAATGTGGAAGAAAGGAAACATAGATTCAATAAACAAGAGCTCTGTTGCCTTGCTCTTGAATTTTCAACATGAACTCATGAGATATTTTATCTATCGTTCTGTCTGTATATTTCCCAGCTCCATTCACTGAGGTCTAAAAGAAATGACTCTTGGTATGTTTGATCAAGGAGAAAAAGGGCAAACAAACAGCACTGGAAAAGTAGAATAGAATACAACTACCCACATGGCGGTTTTAAAGAAATGAGAATATTACAAATTCTGTATCAGAAATTTTGAAACTATAAACAATTTCTATAAAACTAAATTACTACAATTGACTCAAGAAATAGAAAACTGAATACAATAACCACACCTAAGACATTAATAAGTAGTCAAAGACCTAATCCTAAAAACAGCATCAAGCCTAGATGACTTCATAAGCACACTGTAATAACTCTTCAAGGACTGATTATTTTTATCAAAAAAAACTCATTGCCATTGAGTTGCCTGTGACTCATAGTGAACCTAGAGGGCAGAGTAGAACTGCCCTATAAGGTTTCCAATCTTTATGGAAGCAGACTGCCTGATCTTTTTCCTGTAGAGTGGCTGGTAGGTTTGAACCACCGACCTTCTGGTTAGCAGCTGAATGCTTTAACTACTGCACAACCAGACTCCCCAGATCTTTTTTTAAAAGCACTTTTTATTGTGATTTGGGTGAAGGTTTATACAGTAAATTGGTTTTCCATTCAACAGTTTATACACATCTTGTTTCATGACATTGCTTGCAATCCCCACAATGTAATAGCATTCTTTCCATTTCCTCCCTGTGGTTACCGTTTCTTTGTCCTTCTTACCTATCAATTCTGCCTTCTGAACTTTATACATGGACCCCTTTTGATCCTTCTCTCTCTCTCTTTTTAATTTTTATTGTGATTTGGGTGAAAGTTTACAGAGCAAATTCATTTTCCATACAGCAGTTCATACACATTTTGTTTCATGACATTGATTGCAGTCCCCATAATATAACAGCTCCTAACTTCTTCCCTGTGGTTACCTTTTCCCTGTGTCCTTCTTTCCTATGCTTTCCTGCCCTCTGACCTATCTCCTTATGCAAATACTGCCCTCTTTAAAACCTATCTACTGTTTGGCTGGAAGTCATGGGAGTGAGTTTAATTACAGTCCTGAAGGGTGACTGGGGGCCACGGTCTCATGGGTTTCACCAGTCTCTTATCAGACCACTAAGCCTGGTCTTTTTTTATGATTTTGAGTTTTTTTTCCCACATTTTTCTCCCACTCTATCCAGGATCTCTTGCACTGATGATCCCTTTACAAGAGGTTGAAAATGTTAGCCAGCGACCATTTATTTCTTCTGGTTTCA